GGGGGGGGACAGGAGGCGACAAAGGGGACGGGGCGGGGGCCACCCTGCGACGTCATTTGGGGTCGGTCGCGGGGAGAGACGAGAAAACGGCCAGAAAATGAGGAAAATTGGGGGCAGAGAAACCCCCCCCGAGTTTGGGGAGGAAGGGAGGGGACACGGGGGTGACACTCAGGTCCCTGGGGAGCGGGGACCGACCCCAAATCCGGTGTTTTTTTGTGTTCAAAAGGAGAAATTCCCTCGGCGCCCGGGGGCTGGGCAGGGAGCGACCGAGGGGCTGCGGGACGGGGCGGGGGGGACCCGGGGATGTCCCCAGCGCTGTCCCCAAGGCCGGGGGACCCGAGGCGAGGACCACACCCCGCTCCTCGCCGGGTCCCGAGCCTGGAAGAGCCGCGGCCGGGGCCGGGGGTGGTCGGGGGGTGAAATCAGGAGCCCCCCGAGTTGGGTTTGATGATGCTCAGCAGGGCGTTCTTGAGGCTGCCCCGGCTCGGGGAGCGGACGGCGGGCGCGGGGGCGGCCTGGGGCTCCCCCCGCAGCTCCATCTCGATGGTCATGATGACTTTGGGGGGCTGGGGGTCCCCGGCGCCCGCCCCCGGGGGTCCCTCCCTGCCCGCTAACCGCTATTTCTTATCCTTGCGGGAGTCTCCCGGGGCGCCCTTGGATTTCTTGGAGCCGCGGCCGTGGTCCAGCATGGCGTAGAGCACGGGGGCCTGCGGGGACAGGGGGGCTTCACCTCCCACCCCCGGCCCCGGGGACAGGGGGGACACCCCTCCGAGCCCCCCGCCGAGCCCCCCGCCCCTGTCGGCGCTCACCTGCCGGCTGCGCTTGGAGCCGTCCTTGCCCGAGCGCTGCAGTTTCCCCTTCTCCATGGCGCTGCATTTGGGGGTTTTATTTTGGGGGTGGGGGGAAAAAAGAGCGGCTCGGGATGGTGGAATTTCGCCACCCCATCCCTCGCCCCCGCGGTTTGGGGAGGGGTCGCGGCTCACCTCAGCCGCCGCTGCAGGACCGCCTGGCGCCGCAGCCAGCAGTAGCGGATGGCGTAGACCAGGGCCACCAGCACGGCCACCAGCAGCAGGACCCCGCCGATGACAGAGCCCAGCACGACACCGTAGCGGGTGGGCACTGTGGGGACAGCGGTGTCACCAACCCCGGCAGCAGGAAAGGGACAGCGGCGCGGTGTCACCCCCCGGTAGCAGAGAGAGGACAGTGGCACGGTGTCACCCCCAGCAGCAGGACGGGGACAGCGGCACCGTGTCACC